ACAAACCAGCCTTCTTGTCTTCAGCCATGTTCCTCTTTGGAGCTCTGCTCATTCCTTTGCGACACTGGATGGGCCCCGTGTGAGGCATCAAGGGATACAACACGTATGAGAAGCAGACCCCCTTCTGAGGGCCCACGCCTGCGCCACATCACCTGGACCGGCTTTCCGCGGCCTCACACAGCAGGGACTAGGGTGGGATCTCATCTTTATGCTTTGGGCCAGGACAGCATCCCAAGGCTGATCTCTGCCTTCCTCTGCCAGACCCCCGGCACCCAGCGAGACCCCACTGTACCCATGATCCATAGCACCCGGGCCACTCTGAGGCTCACTGCCTTCCCGGAGAGAAAGAAGCCTTTTCCTTATCAACCCAGCTCAGCAATCTGCCAAGAGGATGACTTGATGTGTTCCTTCTTAGGAGATGACTTTGCATCTTCCCGCAAGCTCCCTCGCACCTCCCAGGCCAGTGGAGACACCTGAGGGATCGGGTTTAGTGGTGTGGCTCTTCGGTGCCCAGGCCTTCCGTCTGGGTTCCTAATTCTAAACCTATGGTTCACTTCAAATCCTGCCATCCAGCCGCCGGCTGCGTGGCTCCCGCCAGCCTTCAGCACCGCCTCACGCCCAGCGCGGTTCACGCACCGACTTATTTTTCTTCGACTGGGAGCAGTTGTGCTGGCTGCTAGGTGGGGAAGGAGCTTTGGATGAGCTAATGAGGGCGACAGCTGTGGTTTGCTGAGTGCCCCGCGACACAGAAGGATGACGAAATCTCAGAAAGGTGAAGGCAAGTCGAAGCTCAGGTTCCTGTGATTTTCCCCATCACAGTACATGCCTGAGGGGGACAGGAGGGGACCCGGGGTCTGCTCCAGCCCCTAGCGGTCACGACCCAGGCAGTGGCTTTCCAGCATCTGCATTTGATCCTCCCAAGAACCTCACGTGGAAGGTCCTCACCTCAACCCGAGAAGGAACCCAGAACCACGTGCCCATGCCACCGGGCAGCGGAGCGGGCTAGCCCTGCCAGGGAGCCGAGCCTCGACTGGACGGTGCTGACGCTCTCCGTGGCTCTGGCAAGTCCCTGGACCGCTGGGAGGGGGAGGGGCTTCTCATCTGACAAATGAAGCTGTTGGCCTGGAAAATTGCTGCGGAGCCTCCCAGGGTGACTACATGCACCCCCGGCCCCCAGGAGAGATCACGGAGCGCAGCCCGCCTGGCCAGCCTCCCATCTGACGCCCGGGCTTTATTTACCCTTGGCGTCTCTGGCAACTTAGCAGCTTGACCATATGGGCTGCCCCACCAAGGGACCGGCTCAGTGACAGGCTGGGGAGCCGAGGTCCTGGTGTCCCCAACGGAGAGAATTAGCTCTTGGCCACCGCGGCCTGGCAGTTTGCTCTGTTTGCCGGCCTGCTGGAGGGCTGCAGTCCTGGGGCGGACCCCGAAGGGCACCCACCAGCAGCTGCTCTCAGCCCGCCCCACACTGGCTGCCTGGGCCGCTTTTATTGCTTCATTATCTCTCCCGGCAGAGAGCGTGAGGCTGCGGCTTTGGCTACAATCTGTTGACTCCCCAGGCCCTGGGGCCCAGCCCCTGCTGAATCCAGCCAATTGTGCGGCTGCTTCCCTTCATAACCACCATATTATTGCACACCCCCTGGGCTCATGGATGACAGATCCCCTCCTCTCCTTTGTCCTTGGTTTATCGGCAGCACTGCTCGGCTGCTGTGGGAGTGTTGGGAAAGATTTGGTGAATTCAAGTGCCCGGTGCTCATGCTCATGGCTTGGCTTCTTCTGTTGCTGGTGATGTGCAGGAGGAGATGCTGTGGGAGCTGAAGGCTGGCAACTTTAATCTGCAGGCCCCTTTAGGTGGCACTTAACAGATTGCTTTCAGGCACGTGTGAGCGATACCAGGTT